GTTTTAAATATCCCTTTTTCTTTTTTTAAATCCCAATTTGGTTCAGATGATTGTAAAGTTGTATCTATCTGCATCTCTATTTTAACATTACTAACCATTAACTATTTAAATGTTTAATGTTTTAATATTAATATTTTTATTTGTCATATAGTAAATGCATCTCTTATATTGTCTTGGTAATTTTGTAAGTGCAAATAGGCATTTGTTTATAATGACTAATGAATAGTTTTATTTGTTTTACATATACGGTTTATGCATTATAAGGATGGACATTAATTTGTAAACATGCCTTTTTGAGCGGTCTGACTGCTATAAGTAATCAGACTGTGTGAGTGATCTGAAGAAGCCGTAGTGACCATGAAACGCATCATCTTGCACCCACGACAGGATGCCTCACCCTCAGATCCCAGGAAGCACAGACAGCATTCGATTTAATCAAAAATCTAAAAAATATTTGGATGAAATTTGGAGAAAATTCAAGAAGATATACTCTGGCAGGAGCCAGGGACTAGGTAAATGGAGATAATTCTGGACGGTTTTCCTGCCTGTGTTATTTTTATCTATATATAAAGTTTTTGTCAGGAACTCTTACCTGAGGTGGGAGTCCGGTAGGCAGAGATGTATGCTCCCCCTTGCAGATAAACACAGTCCAAGGTGATCATGTATGAAACCACCAGGACTGTGAATCTGTGCATGGGAGCAGTGCAGGAAAGATGCTCCAATCCGCGGTACAGACAAGGACACAAGCAGGAGGATAGTCCAAAGTCAGAATAAAACGCGGATAGAAGCCAAGGTCAGGAGCCAGGTCCTCTAGAGAACTAGTTCAGGAGACAAAACAGGAACACCACATGATCACCAGAATCAAAGAACTGACAAAGTTCCCAGGGCAAGGCAGTGTTTAAGTACCCAGTTGATTAGTGATCTGCCGCAGGTGAAGCACAGGTATCAGCCACAGATTAAGTCCAGCCCCCTAGTGCTGCAGACAAAGCCAACAGGTTCACTACCCCTTCTGACCCTCCCCCTCCTTTGGTTGTTTCTGGACAGGAGGAGTACAAAGTCTCCTCTATACTCGACTCCAGGTTTACCCAAGGGTCTCTACAGTATTTGGTCGATTGGAAGGATATGGGCCTGACGATC